TTACAGGTACCTAGGTACATATTTATAGAACATTCTGTGCCAGTAGTTTATTACTTTACTAAGTAACTTGTTTAAGTAGTTACCTATTCTTATAATCACATCCATAATAAATCTATTAGTGGTTTTAATATGAACAATTGTTTATATGTATAATTATTAACTGATGAACTTAGGATTTCAATCATCAACATCTCGAAAATGATTAAAATTAAATGCAATTTGTTGTGCATGTTGCATGTATAATACTATAATATGACATGTCTCAAAATCTACTAATAGGACAATAGGTATAGTCAATAAGTAAATGATAGATGATGTATATTCTATAAAATAGTATTGTAGTATTAGTATATTAGTTGAATATACAAAATAAGTATCTACTCTTTTCAGAACTATTGTGGTCGTCTATTTGTGGATGAGATTAATCCCAGATAGGAGAACGATAAATGGTCAAACCGTATGTTTATCGATAGGGAATTTTATGGAGATTCCATTTAAATGATCGGCTTAACGGATTTTTTTGAAGTTAAATAGATAGCTTCAAAAAACCATTAAAAAATCAAAAAAATCTTACAAAACACGCTTTATCAAAAATCATAGATTATAAGTTATGATAACGGATCATTAATCACTATAACCACGGTTCAGGTTTTATATGGTTACCGTTTCAATTGACAACAATATTGAGGTTATGTTCGTATCTTATATCAATCATAGATAATAAAGATCTTTATTATCTTTATTATCTATGATATCAATAATATTATTGTACGTTAATATTTGAACTCAGTTTTTAATTTTTATTCAATTTATAAAATTTAAAATGTATTAACTATTAATTACTTTTTACTATTTTAAGTAGGTTTTATATAATTAATTAATACGTTCACTACCTGTCCTTGTTCTGTATACAAATCACAAATCTAAACAGGTCACCTTTGAAGTGATTTTTGTAAGTCATACATAGTTTTTGGCTACTAACCTTTTTGTGTATTTTATTTTAAACTACAGTGTAAATATTTCTAGGTAAAATGTATCGACAAAGCATTAAAACCATTGCAAAAAACAAGTTATGCTATCTACAAGCTACAACAATCACATTCAAACCATCATAACTCAAATCATGTAACTATGTAAGTTCTGTAAAGTGTTACAATCCCTATAATGTATTTAGTGGAGGCGTGAATAGCTGTTTACGAGGCAGCTGTCTCATGCAAAAGTGAAGGTGGGTACCCCAATGACTCCAGTCTCAAACACCTAGTTGGCTAGACTAGTTTATAATTTATACTCGCATGGTCTCTTAGGGCCTGCGTTTAAAGTCTGGGAAAAAATAAGTGTAAAATGTGAATAATACTGGTGTATGGTATAGGTACTTATTTAAGGCAGTTGCTTCATAGGAAAAACAGTTTACGCCTCCACTGAATGTATTAGGTACTTATTGGCTATGATACATCTGTAATAACTTAACAAATACACTACAACGACGATTATTTATCTTACACAGTTGCAGTCAGGTGTGGATTGAACACCTGAGGTTTTGTAACTGTTTACTGTTACATTTTAATACATTTTAAAGTCCTGGTAAATGGTGATAGAGTTACTAATTATTAATAACATTAAAAGTTCACATGTGTATATTGTTATTTAATATTTTTCTACTAAAGGCATAGATAATCATAAATAAGTATACGCAATAGGTTCACATCTATAACTCAAGGATGTTTGCTATATTGTATTAGAAAAAACTATGTGTTGAAACTATTGATAATGTTGATTGGTTACTATTTTACTACATTGATTTTTAATATGATATTGAGGTATTAAATTAATACGATTTTAAAAATAATTTAATTTATATTAATTCTTTGTTTTTTTTTTTGAATTTTAGTCAGCAAGATGCAGTAACTGATGTATGCAAGCCATTTAGGAGATTATTCTGTTTGGAAAAACTTCTTCTGAGAAAACTGTTTCCACTAACGGTTTCACATGGTGTTTATGTTGATAGTGTATGACCGACGACCGTATAACAAGATCTATAGTGTATGGTAGAGAGTAGTAAAGCAATAAACTCATAATTGTAGAATATTGCAAGGTTCATCAATGTCATTGGCCATTTAACATATTTCCACCAATGTAAATTTTTTAACCCTTAAGAGGACGTCTCACCCGCATGTGTTGTCTCCGTCTTACACACGTACGACATAGTCAATTTTCGTTCGCTAGATTCAATAGGGTATTGTCAGTTTTGATATTAGAGTGAATTTACCTATTATCCAACTTTTAGATAACAGCATTATCTGTGTTCTCTCGTTGGATTTTTACGATATTTTAATTTTTAAGTGAGTTATGAGCATTTCCAATTATTAATATTTTACATACTCATAACTCACTTAAAAATTGAAATATTGTAAAAAACCAACGAGAGAACACAGATAATGCTGTTATCTAAAAGTTGGATAATAGGTAAATTCACTTTAATATCAAAACTGACAATACCCTATTGAATCTAGCTAACGAAAATTGACTTTGTCGTATGTGTGTAAGACAGAGACAACACATGCGAGTGAGACGTCCTCTTAACCCACCACAGACTATCACACATAATAAAAATGTATGCATATTTTTTAAAAAAAATAACAATTATAATAAATAGGAAAATAATTAACTATACTCATATTTATTTATATAAATATTCATAATAGTCTTTAACTGTTTTTTGTAAGATATATGGTACCAACAAAGTTATGGATTTATTACATTTTAATAAACCAAGTACCTACCTATGCAAATATTTTTTTTTTTTTTTTTGAAAATATTCATCTACAATTTAGATAGAGATGTCTTTTTCACAACAATTCACTTCAGCTACTTTGACACTTGATACAAAAACTTACTATTTTATAAAAAAGTAAATTACAATTAATAAAACATTTTAAAAAAACAAACAAACAAACAAATTTTATATTTTTGAAGTTAATATTTTTACCATAATTGAACTCTACTTTAGGGAATTGAAATTTGTCTTATTAATAGATGCAATAAAAAAAAAATAAGAAATGGTTAAAATGCAATTTAAGAAATTAATTTATATTTTCAATATGCTAAAATAAAATTTCCCTGGCTGATTGCATTTATGTTTAAATATTTACTGGACTAAAAGATTAAAATATCATATCATATCACTGTTCAACCAGTTTTCAATATTGATAAATATCTCACCTTTGATTACTAAACATGGTAAACATACACATGCTTTGTTTAAAATAAATAAAAAATTTAATTAAATAGATACACCTACTTGGTGTGTAGATAATTGAGATTAATATTAATTATTATTACTTTTTACTTAATTCCAAAATGTAATATTCATAATATTCATAATTATAAAATGTAGATGATTTTTATGTACTGTCTTTATAATGGGTCGACAAACTAATATTTTTACATTATTTAAATTCAAATTTGATCTATAAAAACCATAAAATAGATATAGAAACTTCTTGTTACACTGGTTAATTAATTTTGTAGAATTGATTAATGATTCAATTAAATTATCTTGTCTGTGGTGGTCACAAACAAATAAATAAGTTAAATTATGATACACTGAACAGTCTGCTCCAGTTAATTTAATTGAAAAATGAATCACTAAATTAGTTAATTAAAGTTAACATGTCCCATCTCTACTACTCAACAATGTTCATACTTCTTAAAGTTATATTTTGTCTAGCTATATAATTATTTTTAATAAATATATAAAATTTTATTTTTATAATTTATACATTACTAATGTCTTACTTATTATTAATGTTATTACTAAGTAATAACTGTAATTGGTATATAAAGTAGTACAAATGGATACATTTTGTCAATAGTTAATCAAGAATAATCATAATTATTATGAGTTATTTGTTACACAGATTTCCCAACGGTGACACTAAAATACTATTTTTGGGCATTCAGGTTTTAAATGTTTGAACGTTTAGGTGGGTAGCTTCAATATCTACCCTTATGGATAAAATGTTTGTGAACCCACTTGGCTTTTATAAAATATTTATATTGATATAATGTACCTATGATGTATACATTTAATGTTAGCCAAGTACACAAGTGTAGTTTCACACAATTTTAATATATTATATGAATCTAGTGTCGAATAACTCGTTGTTTTAAATCAGTTAACAATTAAATTTATTTGTCGTTCATAAGTTTATTTATTAAATAAACTGGTATTTGTATAAAATTTGCACAAATGTATATTTTTAGAGATCATTATATTATTCATCATAGGTATAACTCACATCATTTACAGAATAATGACTTGTCACCTCAAAAAATTTGGCTAATGTAGTAGATAATGTTTGCTGGAATATCATCTCCAGCGATATGTAATTTAATTTTTCCAAAAAGTTGTTATTTCAGTTTTTGAAAATCCCAAGACCATGTTTTAAAAATCCTTAATACATTAATACAATAATACCATGATTTTGAATTGTACTAGAATTATTGTACGTACAATAATTGTACAATAATATTTGAATCTGAAAATACATAATTTTGGGATAAAAATTGAAATGGATTGGGAATGTTAGTATTTCTAAGTTGGTACTCCTACATTTTAGTTGGTCCCCAATTTAGGCGTTTATTCCATGAGATTAAACTGATAAATAATGCTGATGATAACGGCTGTTATCTCGGGGACCCAACTGCCCGATGCCCAGTGTTCCGTTCTGTTGTTTACCGCAATTTTTTCTCTTCCACTCCTGACTACTTACTACGTTTATCTACCACAACTCACAAGACACAGAAATCACAATAATAATATACCTATAGTTCGGTGCGTCGCGCGTGTGCCCTACACATCATATCGACGACGTTCCGGCTAGAAACGTGTGTTTCTGGTCAAGTGCATTCGAGGTGTAAGATTTTTGATTCGCGAGTCCTTGAGGGATCTACGACAACAGCGTTTCATATTTTGACGTTTCCTGTCCGTTCGAACGACGATGGCCGACAAGGACAAGGATAACGACGAGGTGGAAGCGACAATCGCCGACGAGGCGGTGGTGACCAAGTACAAGACGGCCGGGGAGATCGCCAACCGTAAGTAGTTGGCACATTTCGAGGGATTCACCACTCGAATATTAATAATACACACTAACCACACCAGACATAATTTACGGTCATCCCCGCAAACCGGTCTCTGACTTCCTACTTGACACGAATTTCTGTCCGTTGGACCTAACCTACAAAACGCGCGTACCCGGTCGTGTGGACGTGCGGAAGTCAGCTTTGTCGCCGGATCCGTTTATGGAAGTCTTCATCGGTTTCCTCGTAACTTCGCCCACGATGGCGGCCCTTTGGATAAACGTGTACATCTTTGCAAGAACACGACTTCCGATACGTGGCGATGAGTCCCCCACCCCCTTTCGCTTTGCTGCACCCCTATTTCAGGACTATTGTGAATTTTTTTTTCTAATAATAGATAGTGTCGACAAAATTTCAAATGGGTTGATCAATGTTCAGTTATTGTAATCCCTAGCAATCAACTCGTTGATTTCGATGTGCCACTGGTAATGCGTGTGGTGTAATAATAATATTGATATTATTTATTTTCATCTTGTTTTATACATTGTAGAAAGCTGCAAAAACTATTATAGTCTAGTGTTATAATATATTAGTTCAAGTATATTATAATATGTTTTTTCTTTACAGGTGTTCTTGTTGAAATCATCGAAAAATGTGTAGAAGGTGCATCAGTCCGTGATGTTTGCATTTCAGGTGATAATTTAATATTAGAAGAGACTAGTAAAGTATTCAAAAAAGAAAAGGAAATGAAAAAAGGTAGGTACCTATTATATTTTCATGTTGTATGTTATAAGACTTCTGACTTAGTCTTGTTCTTTAGGTATTGCTTTTCCCGTTTGTATATCTGCAAACGGCTGCATTTGCCATTTTTCACCTATTACAAGTGAACCAGATCATACAATTGCAAAGGATGACGTTTTAAAGATGTATGTTTTAACATTTAACAAATCATTACAAATAACTTATTCAGTTGTATACGATTTCTAGAGATTTAGGAGTTCATTTAGATGGTTTCATTTCAATGATTGCTCATACTGTTGTTGTGGGAGCGAATTCTGAAAATAAAATCACAGATAAAAAAGCTAATTGTTTCTTAGCTGCTCATTATGCATCTCAAGCTGCATTAAGACTAATGAGGCCTGGAAATGATGTAAGTATCATTTAATTTTTAGATATTATAGCTGATCCCGTGCACTTCGTCGCCCGTTAAATGGATCAACTCAATACTACCTACTCAAACTTTGTTCAATTCATTATTCAATATTCGGTGTATGGTGTTCAAAATTTATCTTATCTTTCCCGTTGCCCTGAATAAAAATTCTGAATCGCAGCAGTACATTATCAGGTAGGCAATCTACCTGCGGTAGATCGCGGACCCCGTGCTGTTTGTACGGAAGTGTATGATTTAACTCTAAAGTATCAAAGTTATACCAAGTTTATTTTGATGTAATACTGTGGATTAATATAATAAATTTGGTTGCTCGTAAAAAATCGCAACTCTTAAAAAAATTATGATTGTTGAACTCCTTTTGGGTGTAATTTTCTGCGGTAAGTGCAACTCTGCCACCCTGGTAAGCATTGTTCAATAATTCGATTTGATGCAAGCTTGTACCTGATCTGCCCGAATAACCAATGGCAACTATAAATAAATAAAAATAAAATTTCCAATTTCTATCGTGAATCTCAATGTCCCTGTTTCAGCACCTATTTAAAATTCGAATTTTGGCAAATCCTTTCTTAGCGCACGTCTATATTATAATAGCTATCTGTATGCCAAATTTCAGCCAGATCCGTCCAATGGTTTGAGCTGTGCGTTGATAGCAGTCAATCAGCTTACTGTTTTTTATATACAGATATGGTTGCCATGGTAATATGGACACACACACACACACTGACATACATTCATTTTTATATATATAGATTGATATGAAATCTTGGTAACCTTAGTAACCATGGCAACCTTGGTAACCATGGTAACATGGACACACAGACACACAGACACACTGACATACATTCATTTTTATATATATAGATTAGTTAACAAATATATTGCTACTTATGTAAAAATAATAAAATATTTATATCTATTTATAGACGTACCAAATAACTGATATGGTAATGAAGGTTTGCAAAGAATTTGAGTGTAAGCCAGTTGAAGGTATGCTTAGCCATCAATTGCAGCAATTTAAATTAGATGGTCCCAAAACCATTATTCAGAATCCTACTGAATCGCATCGAAAAGAACATGAAAAGGCAACTATTGAGGCCAATGAAGTATATGCTTTAGATGTACTTGTTAGCACAGGAAGTGGAGCTGCCCGTGAAACAACAGCTAAGGTATCTGTTTTTAAAAAAACAGAGGAAGTATATCCATTGAAGCTTAGGGCATCTAGGTAAATAATACTTTTGAACTTTATATTATGAACAATTTTACTAAATGACTAAATTACTTTTTTTTTTTTTTTACAGAATATTTTATACTGAAGTTATTCAAAAACATAGTTTAATGCCATTCAATTTAAGAAATTTTGAGGATGAAAAGAAAGCTAAAATGGGTGTGATGGAATGTGTAAATCACAAACTCATTGAACCATTTCAAGTTCTTTTTGAAAAAACTGGTATAATTTTTTTTTGTCGATCATAAATATAGAACCTTATTTTTTCTTGACTAACAAATATTTATAATTTAGGCGAAACTGTTGTGCAATACAAGTTTACAGTGTTAGTAACAGCTACTGGACCTGCTCGAATAACAGGATTACCATTTGAAGAGGATCTTTATGTGCCTACTTTATCCATTAAGGACCCAGAAATATTGGTATGCTTTAATTACAGACATATTTTAATACAATAATAAAAACGAGTCCCTGTTTTTATCATTTTTAAATATTAATTAATATATACATTAAACAATGACTCCAGTTGAAATTAATGAATTGAGTTTACAAATTTAATATTTTATTAAAAATGAATTAAATATTTGAAAAGTTATAATAGCTACATTATTTTCTTTAAAATTGGTGAAAGGTTAAGTTTATATTTTTAAATTGTAACAAAAACCAAAATCAATATTATGTTCATATATGTCATATGTTGGAGTATTTTTGCATTTTTTTCCTTGCAAGTTTTAACATAATGAATCTTTATCCAGTATCACTCCTTTATGAACAAAACCTATATTGTTACATTAAAATGTTTTTAATAAATAACAAAATATGTTTAGAGTTTACTCAAGACATCTGTAAATCAAAGAGGAATTTTGCAACCAGTTAAAAAGAAGAAAAAGAAGCCTCAAAAAAATGCTAACAATGCAGCTGGTGAAAATTGTTCTATGGACGTAGATCAACCATCAAAAACAGAAGCAGGAGTTGAAAAAATGGAAGTGGATGCATCAGCTTAGATAATTTTCTTCCATTTTTTTTTTTTTAGGAATTATGTACAAACATGTTTTGGCATTAAATTACATTGAATTACAGGCGTAATGAACAGATTAAAAAAGAAAATTAGAAAATTTTCAGTAAAATTGTTATGGAATGTTTATTGACTTCTATAAATGGCAAATCATTTAGCTTTAGTCTCAAATCAATATTGACCAAATTATATATATTTTAATAAGAAATTTGTTAATGATCTATAGAACTAATTTAAATTCTGTTTTCTTCAACATTGTCATCCAAAACTACATGTAATTTACTTGACTTGTTTTTAAATAAAGTGTATAAAACATTGTCAATGTTCAGTTTTTTTTATTACTAAGACATTTGTTGAAAACTAAAGTCAGAGCACTTCTTTATTCATTGTTTATTAATGTATCTGTGTGAAACAGTAATAAAATGTTGAAATAAAGTTTTTAGCGTTGTCTAATCGATTAAAATTCTCTAAGTATTACTTAAAATAATTTATATTGTAAAAATTGCAAAGCCTAGATTAGATATTCATTTATCATTATCATTTCAATCATTTAAATTTTATTTTTACTCAATTATTATTGTTTTAAAGTAAAACTTACCATTTTTATCAATTTCATTTACATGAAACTTTTGTTAATTATTTATAAAACAATTGTTTTCAATTTTAATTATATCGGTTAAGTTTTATACATACACACATTTTTGTGTGAATATTTTCAAAACAATATTGCATTTATGTTTTCATTGTAACATTTTTGAAAGTTGTATAGTCATAGTTATATTCAATGTTTAAAACATGAAGTACATACATTTCTTTTTTTTTATTATTAAAAAATATGTTTCTCTTTTTTTAATACCCTAGTTATTTAATCTATATTCTACAAAATAGTAATTTGTAGATACTGAACAAAAAAATCAAGAAAAAATGTAAATGGCATTGATACAACATGGGCCAATATTATATTTGGTAATCAAAAGTAATTATTTCATAATTATGATTACTCTATATTAAGGAATTAAATATGGTAGAAGAAGAAAACGATTTAACAAATTATCTATTCGATTTCTTACAAAAACAAATCATTATAGTTACAGAACAAATTGCTATTGAATATTAGCACGATATATCGTTTTATTTACGCAATATGATAATAGATCATTGTTAATTTTCCTTAGATTTATTCATTTGTATCTCAACCAATTCATACGCTTTATTCGCTGCGACGACACATTTGTTAGGTACATCAATAACAAACTCGCCAGCGTTGTACACACCTTTATTCCAACATGCCGTAGATGTGGATTTTAAATTTTCTACAGATGGCAATGATTTTACCTTGAAAAAACAAGTTAACATTTAAGTTTGTTTTTTTCAAAATTATGATAATGATAACTTACTTGTGCTGGCAGTTCAGACTCTGCTTTTTTGGCAATAGGTGTTAAAATTGCGATGATGATTTTTGCCACTTCACGTGATGTTTCACCATCTTTCCATATACCTAATTCTTGTGAACCAAATATTGTTGCTCCAAATAATGCTCCTCTTATAGTGTAACTAAATAAATTATGTATGAGATGAAAAGTTTTGCGAATCAATGTCAAGGCTATTCAGCACAATTTAAAAAGTTTGTTAAGGTCATTCAATGGCCTAATAGTGAGTTGTTATTTAAAAATCATAATTGACAGTCTTACCTTATGAATTTGTTTAGTTTACTCATATTTGTAACTAGTTTTTAAAAATCTATATTAAAATTAATGTTCTATACTTGTATAGGTAAATTATAAATCACAATAAGGTATTAAGATTAAACTTCTTGGTTGGTAAGTTCGTTTCGAACTTTGCAGTTCGCAGTCTCGGTGCTTGCGCCTCGCACAGTCGCACTATAATAGTTTGTTCTTATCATTTATCAAATATATGGTATCTATGTGGTATCTACAGCCGTCACACGATAATGAACACAAAATGATAATTCTTATCCGTTTTCTGTTATCAGTTCATCCAAACTCAAAATCCGTGAAAGTTAAGAGTTAGGAGAGTGCAAAAAATTATGCGAAATTGCCAAGTAAGAATTATTTTTGAATAGGAATATAGGATACTAGGGTTTCTCTACCTCATTATTAAATGTTACTTGTTAGGAATAATTGAAATTAAATTTATATTTATTACACAAACAAATTGACAGTTAGCTGAGTTAGCTTATAACGGTACTGCCTAATTTACTGATTTACTGATTTACTGATTTGGGGCCATAGCGCCCGTAGCATGGGCAAACTGAGTCCGAATAAGTTCAAACTTCACAGGTGCCATTATAATACCCCCCTCCAACTCCCTACCAAATTCCAGGTTGCCCCGTCGATTTTCACTTCCGGGTTACTTGTCGCAGAAATATCACAAACTTAAAAACTTAACCAAAAATTATGAAATTTTTTACTCGGCATAAGTTGTACCGTATTTAAATATGGGGAAAATCTCAAGTGCCTACCTCGAAAACCCATGCAGTTATAAGACAAATCAGTAATTTATTCACATACATAATCGAATCAGTAAAATCACGCGCCGCCGTCCAGGAAAACTGCTGTATTGCTCTAAAACCCGCAATAGTATATAGAAAATTATGAAATTTTTTATACGGTATCGGTTGTACCGAATTTAAATACCTTGGAAATTTCAAGTGCCTACCTCGAAAACCCATGTAGTTATAAAACAAATCAGTAATTAATTATTCACATAATCGAATCAGTAAAATCACGCGTAGCAGTGCAGGAAAACTGCTGATTTGCTCTTACACTCGCAATAGTTTATAAAAAATTATGAAATTTTTTACACGGCATGAGTTGTACTGTATTTAAATACTATGGAAATTTCAAGTTCCTACCTCAAAAACCCATTCAGTTATAAATTATAATGCAGTTCAGTAATTTGTTGACATAAACAAATCAGTAAAATGATAAGAATCCTGTATGTTATGTTGCATTACAACATTTCTAGGGCACTTACTAAAATAATGCAATTATTACACATTATAAGAATAATATATATTTTAATATTTAATATGATCATTATAACATAATAATATAGCACTAGACAATGACTTAGGATTTATCTACATCCCTAAAATTAAAATTAAAATTAAAGGTTTGTCATGGGCTAAGGTTAGCTCTTCTTTGGATTTTTTTTTAATTTTGAATGTAGCATTGTACAACTAGTGCATATATTTTAAGTGCATTATTATGACAACTGGCTCGTTTATTATATTGTTAAAATGTTTTTAGAGAATTGAATTATTTGGGAATTTGCCTTCATAATAATGTGTCTTAACATAATATAATAATAATAAATGGGCTGAGCAACTTGTTTTACAAAATATCAATAAATGAAAATCAGTTGTACCTTTTAGTACCTGTAGTGTTTTTACAGTGTTATAAGCGGCAATTTTGGCACCCAAATTTGTATCTCTTGTGTTTGGAAATTAATTATGAGGGTTAGACATTTTTCTCAAATGTACTTCTTACAAAATAAGTCCCTACCTATACAATAGTTACTAAAATAAAGCAACGTATTGCACTTGAGTGTGACTTAGAATTCATCCATATAGATACCTGAAACAAAAAACTCATGCGGTTGTATGTACCTCATTTAAATCAGAGCCGTCATACCCAAATAAGTATAATTATTAATTTCTCTTTATGTGCCAATGAGTATATTATAGTAATTTACACTTTTCATTTTTAAGTTAATCTTTATCATACAATGTACCTAAGTTTCGATATAAAGATGTATGTATAAAGTATGCAGCAATTATTGTTTTTTTTTTACCAATAAATTACAATACTTAATGAATTGTTGCTATATTGCTTTCAAATTGTATGTAATTAAGTCCAGTTTTTATAACAACATATTCAAATTTGGTTTATACAGTTTTTCTAAAATATATTGCTATAATATACCATCACTAAGAAAAGTAATTAATTGAAAGCTTAAGTTTTTGTTTAATTTGTTAAATTGTTAAATATATATAGTCTTGTTTAACCTAAAAGTGTTATAAACTATAATAATTTGTTTAAACTTAAATACAAAACTGCAAAGGCCAAGTCCACATTTTTATGTTTATTCACATGTTCCAAATTTAAAAGAAAATTGTATTTTAACCAATAAAATACCTTATTTCATGGAAATATGGGTGTTTAGTTATTTATTTAATATAATTTTTGTTTAACTAACATCAGAGGTTGCTAAGATTTTACTGAAAATCACCTTAACATGATATTCCTAGTTATGAATACTAATAATTGAGTATTTACTTGGTAAGTCCCCTACATTCTACTAAAAATTGATTAAGTCTTAACTAAGTTTATATGATTCTAACTAAGTTCTATGATTAAGATTAATGCATACAGTCAATGAGTAATGGTATACCATGTTCAGTGTTTTTTTTTAACTAATCATTTTAGATTCTGAGTGGAACGATGAATGTATTGATTTTACAATGATGTGTGTTTTTATATTTTTTTTTATTTTTTTATTTTTGTGTCTGTGTACACGTTAAGTAGTCGAAATAATGCTTCGATTTTCGACTTCAGTATCTTGTTCGATTGGAAAGTGAATATCGTTGGTGCATTGGGGAGGTCAAATTTGAAAATTCCCAGTACTTTTTAAAAGCGCCAAGAAAAACAAAAGAAAAATTAAGGAAAAACGAGAATTTTTACGCAAAATCGATTTTTCGGAAAATTGAATTTGGTATTTGGTGTAACTTTAAAACAAATGACCGTAGATACATGAAATTTTCACTGGTTGTTAATATTTGCATTTTCTATACACGATAACATTTTCAAAATATTTTGATTTAATTAGAGCTCTTTACAGACATTTTCATTTTCCATTTTTTTTTAGTATTTTTTCTAAAAATATCAATAAAATTTTATTTGTTGGTAAAAAAGCATGAAAATTTAATAGGAGGCGCCTAGTATATTGTTTCAAAGGCAGATAAAAAATATTGAAAATCGTTAGTCACAGTTTTTTTTTACAAGCATTTAAAGTTCAAAAATTGACAAAATATGGAAAAATCACAAAAATTAGCAAATTATTTTGAGTTAAGAATTCGTAAAAATTTTTCTTTTTAATTCTAAATCTAATACAAGATTACTCATAAGATTGTCTACCTTTATCAATAAAAAAATCTCTGCCGGAAAGTCAAATTAAATTTTTATGAGCGTTTGAAATTCAAATTTTTACAACATTGGATATTCACTTGATTTCTCATGTAGCGATTTTCTTATTTTGTTGTAATTCAAAAACGAATATTTATAGATACATGAAAATTTCACTGAATGTTCAGATTAGCATTTCCTATACACTGTATAATTTTGAAAATATTTCGACTCTTTTTGAGCTGTTTACGGACATTTTCAGTTTTAAATTTTTTTAGTTTTTTTTTCCATAAATATCAATAAAATTTTATCTGTTGGGCCAAAAAGTGTAAAAATTTAATACATGGTTCCTGATATAGGTATTGTTACAGTAGCCATTGAAAAATATTAAAAATATATAGGCACAATTTTTTTTTTTTAAGCATTTAAACATTGAATTTTGACAAAATTTATCAAAATCTCGAAAATTATCAATCATTGTAATGAATAAATTATAAAATGTTCAGTTTTTATAGCTAAAGATTGCAAATTTAAAACAAAGGTTCTCATAAATAGTTCATATTGTAACCAAAAAATCTAAAAAATATATGAACACAGCTATTTTTACAGACATTTTAAATTCAAATTTGGATGAAATTACATATTAAAATCAATATTAATGATCTTTGTTTTTGTTGTAATTCAAAAATATAATTCGGGGATATATGAAACTGAAAAATCAAAATATTATGGCCTATCCATACAACCTACCATAGTATAAGGAAGAAGAATTATGCTCATGATAAGACTGTGTATATTTTAAGGAATTTATTCATAAATTCCATATAATTTAATACCATAGAAAAGTATATAATATGTCTTATATCTAGACGACATACCGTCTCCGCTCAGAATCGTTTTTCTTATACAATGATATTATATCATTGCATTCAAATTTAAACCATCCATTATACAGTGACCCACTTGTAACCTACAGTACAGCAGAGCGACATCCACTTACCCACCTTTTTTTAGATCTTTTCTACAATAAATATTGAGGAATTTTTGCTTAGAAGTGAAATCAAGAGAGTTTTAATGTTGGTACAAAGCATCGTAAACATTATAGTATAATATATCCGCTATCGTGGTTCAATGTTATACAACACTCTATATAACTTTGCACCGAATAAAAAAAATAAAATAGATGAAAGAAATTGTGTGCATTTTATAGAGTATCTTCAAAATACTGTAGGTATCTATGAGTTATAACTTATAAGTAATATGAGTAATATTTATGACTTTGTACCAGTGTAATTTATAAAATTAATTTGTTTTATAATCAATATATCATAAATTATATAAATAAATGCTATGTTATATTATAAATAAATATCTATGAATTATGAAATAATAGGTAATGAAGTAAGTAAACATTTCTTTTTGTGTATTGTTAATTGTTTTTAATTTTTTTAAGCTGAAATAATGTTTAATAATTGATTATTTTGACAGCCTTATTTGGTTGACTTGAGTTTGCAGTTTTGTATTTAAGTTTAAACAAATTATTATAGTTTATAACACTTTTAGGTTAAACAAGACTATATATATTTAACAATTTAACAAATTAAACAAAAACTTAAGCTTTCAATTAATTACTTTTCTTAGTGATGGTATATTATAGCAATATATTTTAGAAAAACTGTATAAACCAAATTTGAATATGTTGTTATAAAAACTGGACTTAATTACATACAATTTGAAAGCAATATAGCAACAATTCATTAAGTATTGTAATTTATTGGTAAAAAAAAAACAATAATTGCTGCATACTTTATACATACATCTTTATATCGAAACTTAGGTACATTGTATGATAAAGATTAACTTAAAAATGAAAAGTGTAAATTACTATAATATACTCATTGGCACATAAAGAGAAATTAATAATTATACTTATTTGGGTATGACGGCTCTGATTTAAATGAGGTACATACAACCGCATGAGTTTTTTGTTTCAGGTATCTATATGGATGAATTCTAAGTCACACTCAAGTGCAATACGTTGCTTTATTTTAGTAACTATTGTATAGGTAGGGACTTATTTTGTAAGAAGTACATTTGAGAAAAATGTCTAACCCTCATAATTAATTTCCAAACACAAGAGATACAAATTTGGGTGCCAAAATTGCCGCTTATAACACTGTAAAAACACTACAGGTACTAAAAGGTACAACTGATTTTCATTTATTGATATTTTGTAAAACAAGTTGCTCAGCCCATTTATTATTATTATATTATGTTAAGACACATTATTATGAAGGCAAATTCCCAAATAATTCAATTCTCTAAAAACATTTTAACAATATAATAAACGAGCCAGTTGTCATAATAATGCACTTAAAATATATGCACTAGTTGTACAATGCTACATTCAAAATTAAAAAAAAATCCAAAGAAGAGCTAACCTTAGCCCATGACAAACCTTTAATTTTAATTTTAATTTTAGGGATGTAGATAAATCCTAAGTCATTGTCTAGTGCTATATTATTATGTTATAATGATCATATTAAATATTAAAATATATATTATTCTTATAATGTGTAATAATTGCATTATTTTAGTAAGTGCCCTAGAAATGTTGTAATGCAACATAACATACAGGATTCTTATCATTTTACTGATTTGTTTATGTCAACAAATTACTGAACTGCATTATAATTTATAACTGAATGGGTTTTTGAGGTAGGAACTTGAAATTTCCATAGTATTTAAATACAGTACAACTCATGCCGTGTAAAAAATTTCATAATTTTTTATAAACTATTGCGAGTGTAAGAGCAAATCAGCAGTTTTCCTGCACTGCTACGCGTGATTTTACTGATTCGATTATGTGAATAAATTACTGATTTGTCTTATAACTGCATGAGTTTTCGAGGTAGGCACTTGAGATTTTCCCCATATTTAAATACGGTACAACTCATGCCGTGTAAAAAATTTCATAATTTTTTATAAACTATTGCGAGTGTAAGAGCAAATCAGCAGTTTTCCTGGACGGCGGCGCGTCATTTTACTGATTCGATTATGTGAATAAATTACTGATTTGTTTTATAACTACATGGGTTTTCGAGGTAGGCACTTGAAATTTCCAAGGTATTTAAATTCGGTACAACCGATACCGTGTAAAAAATTTCATTATTTTCTATAAACTATTGCGGGTTTTAGAGTAAATCAGCAGTTTTCCTGGACGGCGGCGCGTGATTTTACTGATTTGATTATGTGAATAAATTACTGATTTGTTTTATAACTACATGGGTTTTCGAGGTAGGCACTTGAAATTTCCAAGGTATTTAAATTCGGTACAACCGATACCGTGCAAAAAATATCATAATTTTTGGTTAAGTATTGCGAGTGTAAGAGCAAATCAGCAGTTTTCCTGGACGGCGGCGCGTGATTTTACTGATTCGATTATGTATGTGAATAAATTACTGATTTGTCTTATAACTGCATGGGTTTTCGAGGTAGGCACTTGAGATTTTCCCCATATTTAAATACGGTACAACTTATGCCGAGTAAAAAATTTCATAATTTTTGGTTAAGTTTTTAAGTTTGTGATATTTCTGCGACAAGTAACCCGGAAGTGAAAATCGACGGGGCAACCTGGAATTTGGTAGGGAGTTGGAGGGGGGTATTATAATGGCACTTGTGAAGTTTGAACTTATTCGGACTTAGTTTGCCCATGCTACGGGCGCTATGGCCCCAAATCAGTAAATCAGTAAATCAGTAAATCAGTAAATTAGACTAACCCGCTTATAACTACTAGTGCTTGTAATACAATCACAGAATAGATGATTTCATCTATTCTGTGATACAATAGTGGATTACACTTAAATTACGTTTAATCCACTGATTATAGCGACCGAATTCCTCGGTTTAACCGGAAGTCGACTATCGCAATGCAAGGCCTGAGATATTTTATTGATTATTTATTGTTGATCTAATATTATTTTAGTACAATATTTAAGTTCTTCCCAAAAACTAACAAATTATATAATTTAATACTATATAATCTGTACCTATATAGGCTATAGGTATCTTAATATATATATATTCGTGGTTCTTCCTAAGGGCAAATACTTAATTCACTTTAGAGCACAATTGTCTAAAATAATAAACATTTTATTTCTTTTTCTATGTAAGACTGGTTCAGTGTAAAATCTTTGATCTTATTATAAGACATATTTTGGTCATATAACCATCATTAAAAAAATTAATGTCTCAATGACCACGAGTTGAAAAGCCAAGAAACTTTATTTATTAACAATCGTAATCAGTGACAAAATAATTATTATATTTATCGATATATGAATATTTTAGTATACCATATTCAGCCGTTTGGTCTAATCAAACGCTTTTTTCTAATTCTACTGTACTATATACTTATTCGATCATTTTTAAAACGAGTATAACTTATAATTTTACATGTAATTTATGTATTATTTATGATTTTTAAGTTTAGTGAAAAAGGTTCCACATAATCGTTATGGACAAGTCGTCAGCCAAGGAGATATTTTTCCATTCATGTATAAATGGTGATTTGAGTACAATTAAAATTAATTTGTTCCATAATGTATCACCGTTCAGCCTAGACAAGGTTAATAGTGTGTTTCATATCTAGAACTCAGCTTTAAATTAATACATTATTTGTTCCATTTTACATTTAAGTATGGAAACAATGCTTTGCACCTAGCTTCCATGAACAATCAACCAAAAGTATTAGAATACTTACTAAAGACTGTCAAAACTTATAAAAGCAATTTTCGGAATAAAATTGGACGTACTGCTTTAAATATAGCAGCCGCTCAAGGTTCTTTTGAGTGCATTGAAGTTTTACTAAACAACTTTCCTTGTGACATCAATTCTACAGATAAGGTGAATTTTTTGTATTATTGCCTTGAAAAAAATTAATTTAGAAGCCTTACAAGCAATAAAAATCGACTATTAAATATTTTAGTATGAATCTGTTTGATTCAAATATTTCCAAATCAATAATATCTTCATGCTTTATAATATTAATTCTTAGCTATGATGATTGCTTATTTTATATTTCTTAAATTTTTCTTACAGTTCATTCCGAAGTAGAAAAACAATAAAACAATAATAACATTAATAACAATTATTACTAGTGCTCGAATTGGTAAAATTAAAGTAGGTGAACTCTGTTTATTTTTTAAAAAAAGAGTATCCCCATAACTTATTAAACATTATTAAGCTGTGTGGGTTATTCTCCAACAGCTCCTAATACCCCTCTTTAAATCAAATAAAAACTATTTATAAACAATAAATTTAATAAAAAAGTCCGTAAGAGTGTAAGACAGATTTTAATTGTATCTTCCTCATTTTAATAAAAATGCAGAATGATGAAGCGTGCCATGCATTCTCCTTAAAAATAATAGTAGAGCTCTAGGTATGCTAAAATTTCTGAAAAATAGTTGGGGTACTCTGTCCCACTGCTTCCCCCCTAGTCGAGCATTGAATTTATTACAAATTTAAGTAAAATAAATGTACATACTAAAATATTTAATACTAAATCAATACAATTTCTCAGATTCTATACTATCTATAGTTCTATAGGTACCCTATTCAGAATAAGAACAGACCAGGCGGCGGATAAAACATGTTGTTGTTCACGCATCCTTCCCTAGTGCGGCTGCCTCCATAAATATTCACTATTACCGAATAATTAACGATTCAGCCACCTGATGGTCTGGCAGCTTCAAGCTCAGTTGTGGTCTGTTCTTATCCTAAATAGAGTATAGTATCATAAAAGTCAGTGTCAAATTTATCTGATAAAAATAGTTGAAAACATTTTTCTAAGTATGCACTGTGTAATATTTAATTTTTTAGATTTTTAACAATAGTCCATTACACTGGTGTGTTACAAGCAAATGTATCAAAGGTGTCAAGAAGTTATTAGATGTGGGAGCTGATTTCACGCTTGTAAACAAATTTGGCAAAACTCCTTTACAACTTGCCAAAACAACATGTTTGGACATTTTTCATTTAATAAACAATGTAATTTTGAAAATTTTTGTTTATTACCTACTCTTTAAAAAATAAATATAATTATATATCATATTAAGCTAATAATTTTAATTAAATGAATTAATAATGATTGTTGTCATGATCAAATTTAATGAAACATAAAACATTGAACTTTTTAAAGATTATTTTTATTTAATAACACTAATTTTCAGTTTATCAAAAATAAAAATAAGGACCAATTCTTACACACAACTCCTCAGTCTAATAATGGTATTAGAACAAAAATGAATATTACCTCAAAATCATCAAATTCACCACAATTTAAAATAACTAGTAAGTTGTAGGTACTAGAACCATACTATTCATAGAAAAATAAATAACTAATATAAATGTATTTAATAGATTTTAAACTGTACATTTTTTGACAGATGGTAATTCAAAATCAAATTCAAAAATATTCAATAAGACTGTTGATCAGCAAAGTGTCAATTGTGAAAAAATATTAGGCCCTAATTTGGTATCTAATAGTTCAGATGAATCATTTTATCTGGATATTTCAAAACTAAAACGTAAGTTTAAATAAAATGTATTATTTTTTTTTTCATTACATTAATTATTTTTGTATTTTAGATGGTGATAATTCTGTTTTAAAATTATTGGAAAAATCTATCGAACCAGTCGACGAAACTTCTTTTGTATCATCTATTTTAAACAGTGGAAAAGTTATTCAGTTGACTGGTATAATATTTAATTTGGTACTAGTCAATAAAAATAATGATAACTTAACTACAAAGTATATTTTTATAATTTTTAGAAGCTGGTATACTTGCTTTGGAATACACGAAAAATGAAATAAATACTCCAATTCCCGATCGCCTTGTACAAAGCTTCTTAAACACATCTCAACAATATAATGAAAATGAAAATAATCTTGACTATGATAATATTGAAAAAGATATTGAATTAGGTTCAACAACACCTGCAAGAGGATTAAAACGATTGAAAAGTCCACAACCCTGCTCTAAAAGATTTAAATATACTGAAAGTACCAAGAATTCGGAGTTTGAAAATGTATTGGATCAATTGGGTTCTAAGTGTACTAAAACTGTTCCCAGAGCTTATAATTCAAATTCCTACTTTTCACAAAGCTTGTCATCTGTAGAAAATAGTACAATGAGAAATAATGAAGTTTGCAATCAAAATCAATTAGTATGTGTAAACCCTGACATAAATGCTCTACCCAAATGGGTAGATGATCTAATGTGTTTATTTCATAAATTAAATAATTCGGCCATAGTGGAACAAATCAATTGAACTAAATTTATTATTAGTGAACACCTACCAATTTTTGTTATTTCTAGTTGTGCTGTTTAGTAAATACATTTTTCACATTTAACTACCTATGTATGTGGCAGTGGCGTAGCCAGGATTTTTCTTCAGGGGGGGGGATCATCTTTTACACTTGCAGCCCCCTCAGCCCCCTTGCTATGCCACTGGTATGTGGTATATGTTTTGTAAAAGAAACCATACTTGTTTACAGAATCGTCATTGATTCCAAAAAAACTGCTCAGAAGTCAGGTTAACAATGATCAATACCTACATTGTTTGTTAATATTTTCTCATTTGATCTCAAATTATTTTAGGTTTTATATATTTTGTTATATTTAAAAAGTATAAAATTAAATAAATTAACTACGTTAACATATTTTTTATTTCTTATTTCAAACATCTATTAGTTGTTTGAATTGTCATTGTATACTTAACAAAAGGCCATGCCAATATTTATTTTTTTACAATCCAACAACTAATACAGTAATACCCTTTGTTTTTTATTCTGGTTACATAACTATTCACTAATCTGTCTAATCAAGTTAAAGCAAAACTGTAAGTTTTATATATTTATATTATGTAAATAAACTTATGGAATTAGATTAACTCATAGAGCTATAAAGTCTCAGGTTCCCAAAAGACAACTCATACACACTAGCGTTCGCTATGGCAAGTTGTCTACTAGTATCCGGGTGCCTGAGAATACCGGTACACCTTTGAAAACCTTATGTATATTAATTATTTTAAAAAACGATGATGGCGCTGCTACTATAGTTTTTAACCAAAACAATCCATTTTTTAAATCACAAATTTAATATATTACAAATTATTTATATATTAATTGTATATTGTATATCATTATTTATTCATAAATATTATACATTTTTTTATTTCATTTAAAATATATAAGTATGTCATGTATTAGATTCTTAGTGAAGGTAAAAATGTACCTATTACCTAGTTTTAACAAGATGTATGGTTTTACTTTTTTTTTATATATATAAATAATATAAATAATTTATAACTTTAAACTTATAAATTATATCTAACTAATAAATGTTAGTTTTTATACAATAACATAGTATCCAGTATCCAAACATACATATTATTATAATTCTTTATAACTTATATGTCTTATAAAAACTCAAATGAACCTTCCTTTCACCGATTATTTCATAAAAAATAATTTTTTCTTCTATGATCAACTTAAAGTGAGCTCCGTCTTGTGTGGTTCTACGCGTTCATCAATTGCCCGTGCTGGACCAATCGTGTCATCTGGTTTTCAACTAGGTCCCACTCCACAGTCCACTGTTAGTGAAAACCGCACATGTCTCCTCTTGAAGGGTGCATATTATATAGTAATAATATCTGCATAGATAAATAGATCATATGAATACATAATGTCTATTATTATTTATTATTAAAATAAAAAAAACACAGTATTCACTGGGATTTTACCACTGTTTTTAACATATGTTAAACAATATTTGTATATATTTCAAACGATGAGCAAAAAGTTTAAAACAAATATTTTAAATTCATGTTTAAAAGAGTTGCTTAAAACATAACAACCCTGATTCAGAGGAATGAAGTTTTAAAAGGATGCAAACTACAAATTGCTTAAACTCTATTTGCGTAGGTATATTTGGGAAGTAGAGTAGGTATTGCAGATATTTATGTATTTATTCATCAATACCTACATTTTAAAATAAATGACATAATATACCTACTGAATACTGATAAACATCCTTATATATTTAAGTATAACACCTACTTGGATACTTACTATGTAGGTATCGACGTATCGTATATTATTATTTTTTTAAACTAAAAAATTATCTTTAATTTTGAATTAAAGCACAAACAGGTTGCACGGTTTAGATTCTCAGCGGAGAATGTAATATGATTGTATTGGTTTTCAATAACGTATTTTTCATTCACACGTTTTTTAGTAGAAAAATGCTTTTCTCACTGAATGTTTAAATTAACATATTTTTCTATACACTATAAGCTTTTCAAAATGTTTTGAGGCGTTTACGGACATTTTCAGTCTCCAATTTTTTTTCTATAAATGTCAATAAAATTTTATTCGTTTGGTCAAAAAGCTTGAACATTTATTACAATGCTTCTAATATATTTTGTTCTTTTTTTATAAAAAGGAATTCGTTCCAGGAATCTGTTCCTGTTGGAACTCGTTCCTTCCAAACAACTGATGATATGATAGTATAACTTTAAGAGGGGGGGGGGGGTCTAGATTTTAATTTTTTTAAGTTATGGGCAATTAAACTATTCTTTTAATGTAAATTCAAAAATTTTCAATGTGTATAGTAATTATTTTTATTTTAAAGATATTTTATTGGGCTATCAACTAATACATACAAAATCAAACCAGAAATGTACAAATTAATTTTGTTAAATTAAAAAAAGTTGACAAAAGTTAGCATTTTTGAAAGGAAATCGAGTAAAACTCCAAATAACGCCATATTTACTATATACCCACATTTTTTATTTTTATTTTATTATTCTATAGAATACCTAGAATACCTTAAACATTTTGTTTTTGTACATTTCACCTCTTTGTGAGTACATGCTTCATCTAAACTCGATGTAGGTTCAGTAATTTATTATTGTCCATTGACAATAATTACAATTTATTACGAAAGTTACATTTAGCAGTGTTATTAGGCGAGATTAGTAAATTGGGTCCCGGAAAAAAAGGTATATTGAGTCCCGAAAATGCAATTTTAGTATGTTCATTCCATTTTTTTAATATCTAATCATCTTTATTAGGAGTCAAATTTTATAATTTTATAATATAATGTTCTAATTAAATATGTGGTATAAAATATTATGTTCTCGGTATAAATTGTATAAATACAAAAATCTTATGGTTTAAACTAAAATGTATGTATTTATTATAGTATTATATTATGTTCTTGGTAAAAACTTAAATGATCGGGCCAAACAGATAAGTAGGTGGGTTCAGGGCTGTATTAAGTGACAATATATGGGGGAGCAAACATAAATATGAAGCCCCTAATTCAGTATACCCATTTTTTTACAAGTAAATGACAAAAAAAATTTTTTTCGCTACGCTCGAACAAACATTATACAATATACTTACAAAAAACTATATGCTTATCTATTCATTAGTTATCTACTCTTGCTACACTTAGGTATTGTCTTTTACAATATATTTAAACACATGAACCAGATACAATTTATACAAATTAATAAATTATTACATACATAATATGTCTACATATCATTATTAATTTCAAACTCATGCAGGGGCGTCATTTGGGGGGGTGCAGGGTGTACATTTGCACCAACTTTTTTTAAAACTCCTTCTTTGGCCTGCCATTAATAAATATAAGCGCTGATATACCTGTGTTTTAATTTTATATTTTTTTTCAGTATTAAAAAAAATTTATTGCACTAATAATTTCCAAGAATGTTTGATGTGGTTTTGTGGTCTCACAAAATTATAATTGATACAATTATGACACAAATATTGTGAAGAAAGGTAAGTACCCATAAAATAAATTTCTGGTTTTATTAAGCTAACTAGCTACTACTATATATTTTGAGTATGCAGAGAGAAAAAATGTGTAGGTTAGGTTCAGTTAGGTATTTTACTATAAAGTGTTATATACCAATACATTTATTTACCAAATGCAAATACCACTGTACACTGATATTCACAATATAAAATAAATACATTAAAAGTATACTTACACATAGTTCGTCAAAAATAGAAACAATATTGAGATATTTTCATACTAATATAAGTGACATATTAAATAAAGAATACAAATATTCGGGAGATGGTATTTTGCGCCAATTTAATAACCTGTAATTTGCGCCATCAAAAGGTACATTTAAGGGCGTATGTAATTTGCACCAAAATATAAAAATATAATATGTATTTTGCGCCACATATACAAATTAATTTTGGTAATTTGCACCACGACAGAAAAGGAAATGGAATATGTAACTTGCACCACATTTTCAACTTCAATATTGTTGGAATTTACCAGCAGATATATTTACTGATATCGCATAGGATATACAATAATACGTAACGACGTGTGTCCAATATAATATTGTTGTGTTCTACTGATAATAGAGACGTAATTAGACGTAATTGATCTCCGATTACTTTTTGGACATACTGAAAAGATTTCAAACCTAAACTTTGATTAAAATTAAAAGTACCTATACATCTTAAAAAACGAAATTCTACTAAAAATAAAATTCGTTTGGAAACTTTTCAACAAATATATGAAGACTACAGACAAAATAAAATTGACAGAAAATGCTTTGTTTCATCATCAAGCTATAAATATAAAAAACGTGAGTAAGTTAGGTATTATAAGTACCTAGCTAGGTATTTTATTTCAACAATTATGTGTTATATTACAAAAATTGTATTACTAAACGAAAATTTACTTATTTAATATACATGGAATTCGTTTTACTTGTGGCGCTAATTACAATTTCAATAAGGTGAACTATGGCGCAAATTACAACTTTTGTAGGTAAACGATGGCGCAGATTACATATTGCCTTTTTATTTAGTTTCATTTGGCGCAAATTACAAACTTAAAAAGTAGCGCAAATTACCAAAATACAATTTTAGATGTGGCGCAAATTGCATATTTGTTTTTTTTTTTTGTTGTTGTTTTTGGAGCAAATTACATACGCCCAAATATTCTACAGTTTTTGTCCCTACTTGACCCCTTTCCCTTTCAAAAATAAAAATAAAATATGTGGCCTGGTAATGATTTGAATGGCCTGCAAACTTTTTGGCACCAACAAAAAAAAAGTTGAAATGACGCCCCTGAACTCATGTCTCATGGTTTATGGTATATTCTATACCTATAGCTATGATTGCTATGAATTATTGTAATGATAAACGACTAAGGAAATAGGTAGGTATACTATGTTGAAATTTTAAATATTATATAACAATAACATTATCC